TTATTCATGATCTAATATAATTTTAAAAATAAATTATTGATAGGATTGCCCTTTTATTTCTTTTTTCGTGTATGTAATAACAGGAACTACACAAGGAGTGATAATGCATTTACTCCAGCTTCTAACATATATGGCTGTTCTTCTGTCACTCCTGCACTTCTATAGGAGCCCTTTACGTGATTAACTTGCAGTATTTGTTAAATTGCTCATTTTCACATCATTTTGTGTGTTGCCAGTGGATTTCTGATTTTGGTATTTCAATTACTGCCGCTTGAGTGTGCCTATCTTTTGTTTCTTATTCTGTGTAGCAGGTTGGTGCTTATGTATATGTATACTTTATATGTACAGATGCACGTCCTTTAATATATTGAGCACAATTTTTCAGATGATTGAATGAAATTGAAATTTTTAACTGTTATAATTACATGCTAAGATCCAAAGAAAATCATGTATGAAATTGTATATTTTTTTGCTTTCTATCGTGTTAAAAAGACTGTACTATAATCACACTATGATCTGAATAAAACTTTGAACGTTTTACAGTGACAATGTGAGAATGACATTTTATTTCACATGTTTTCATGGCATATTATGAAGAGAAGACTAAATTGATTGTCTTCCTTACCTAAACTACAGCTCCTGCCCTGGACATACAAAAGGGTCTGAATTTTCTCTATGGGAATCCCCAGTGGAGGGTAACAGAGTTTACGGATTAATTTGGAGGAGCTATCAAGAAAGGGACAGTCGCATAAACCAATTTAATCCTCTGCTTTTTCAAGTCCATTGTTTTCAAGGTCAAACAGTGCTAAAAGCAACACTATGCTTTGGTTTGAACTGTCTCACTTTGGTGCAAATCATCCATCCTCAAAATGTATTTTTATGAGATTACTGAAGGGTTGTACAAAATTTAATTACAAGTGTTGTAACTTCGGAAAGCTTAACTTTGTCTAATGCCTGGTTCTCGATTTTTTTTTTTATTGTGCATTTCAACTCTCCCATTCAGGCAAAAATGTTTTGAAAGGTTTATTTTTATAAAGGATTTAGTATCTCTTTTTATAGCAACCGTGTGTAGCATAACACACCCTTATGATGGGGTTATTAGCACAGCTGATAGAGCTGTAAGGGGCGTATAACTTCCAAAGTGTGCAGGCAATTTTGAAACTGTCAGCCTAGGCTGAGTAGTTGAGGTGTTTTTGTTTTAATTTAGGCTTCAAAAGGAAAGATGGGTAATAGTGAAGTATTTCCTTAGTGTTCATTTTCACCCTGCTTCTTTTGTGCATAAATCTGCCCTTATTGAAATGCTACCATCGATTTCCCATCAGCAAACTGGAAACAAAAGAAGACACAGAGATGCTTTTCATTGATATACATTTTATTCTCTAATAGGTACAATACTAAAATAAACACAAGTTTAAAAAAAAGTTTTCTTAAACAAAAAAACTGTACAAAAAGCATATATATACTACAATTTAATTACAGAACAGTCTACTGTCCAAAAAAGGCACTAAATTCTGAAATAGGAGATACAATGATATAGGACTTGTTTTAACTATTTCAAATCGATACAACAGTGATCTTTATTTTGTTCACGTATTCAACAAGGACTCTGCAACACGCAGGGGACAGCTCCACTCTGAGCCCTGGGCAGCCAGGGCAAAGCATCCCCTCCCTCTACTCTATTGGGCAGCCGCACACTGAAATTGTCATTAATCGTCATAGCCAACCTGAAAACTAAAAGTAAAAGAGTGTGGTTTGGCACAAATCCCCCCAGAAAAGTGTTCTACCTTGTTTTATGAAGAGGGTTCTGAACCTGTTATGGAGTATATCTTTTGCTCTCGGCGACATCTATAAAATCCAAGACTTTCAAAAAACAGTCCTCAGAACTCCAGTCTCTTCTGGTTATCATTCCAGCTGTGCTAAAAGTTCCATGCTTAATTACTCCTGTTTTTAGAAAAAAGGTCCTACAAAGTTATTTCTGAAAATGTATGAATTTAATCTCGCAACAGATTTGGAGCTGAAATCATAAATGGGATATTTACTCCAAATTGGCACTTCAATGAATGGACTCAATATGTAACGGAGCTCAGCTGTAACAGAAACCTGAAGACACTGGGCCCCATTTTAGACTTTTCCAACCCTGCTGGAGTCCAAACTGGAGATGGTTATAAACAGATTCTCCAAACTGGAGTTTGAAGAAGTGAGCTTCGAGGTTCTCGTACAGCGCAATAAACCTAGGCACACCATTTTGTATTTTTTCCTCCTTATCTGAGGAGGACAATCACCACAACCACCCCCTCTGTGTCTTTTAAAGTTGCAAACCGCTTTACGCCATGGAAAGGGTTAAAGTGGTGCAAATCAGGTGTAGCTGGACCACTTTACCTCTTCCCCCAAGTCATTAAGCTTTTGCTTGACATAGAAAACTCAGAGTTGTGGAACCCAAAGATTGGAGTTGGGAACCACTACTTTAACATAATGGGTTTAATTACATAAAGTAATAACATTATTGCAAAAATAATATTTAGGAATAATCTCAGACTAACTGCTGTGACTAACCGGAATGAGTATTCCTATATTAATATAACCCCACTCTTCTGCTTTTTACATTTTGCACAAGTAATGTTCTTCAAAAAGAACCCTGAAGACATCACAACTATGGATTTCTTAACCAGGCCTTGCATTTAAATATGGCTGAAGGTTACAAGTCTCCCCAGTTGAGAGCTTGTTCTTTCCATCCTGGAAAAGGGGATGCTTTGCCTCTTTGAAATATCTTACAGTTAGAAACACAAACAGGCAGACTGACAACACATCAAAATGAAAAAAAAAACAAAACAAAAACACAAAACACTTCAAAATGAACAGTTAAAAAAAGCAGATAAAGAAAAAGAAAAGGTCATTCTATAATTACATTTTTCTGCTTAGCAGAATTTTTTTTCACCAGAACAAGAAAATGAACCCAAAAAAATTACAAATACATTGTCTGATTTTTAGAAGTCTTTTCTTTTCTCTTAAGATACATATTTGATACAGAATCAAGCGCTATGTTAGTTGATAGCAGAGCTTCAAAGAGATTCAAGCTCTGAAGCAGCAGAAAGATTTACCAGTCAGCTTAGCTGTCATTCAATAGCTATTACTTTAGGTTAAAAAACTGGGTTATCTCACATTAAAAGCAGCATCCTATAGGCCGTCGTGACAGCCTGGTTGGGAGGGAATGGATATTTAGTGGCTTGATTCCCCTCCTCCTTATATGGTAGAGCTCCCTCTCCTCCTGTTGCACATTATCTGTCTTATCCTCTCTCCTTCAGGCTTACACTCAAGGTTCACCTGGCTAGAAAACAACAGCTGCCACAAGGCCACCTAGGAGTCAGGTGCTTATTCCAACACGAGCTGTATCCACCACACAGAGGACCGTGTTTGTGGCTTCTAGAAGTATGGCCTTCCAAGTTCATGATGTCTTGACTTCTTTGAGACAAACTGCTTTGCAAAGCCGGCAGTAAGAAGAGAGCAACGGGGTATGACAAGACTAGATATTGTACACAAAAAACGGAATTCCCAACTGATGCATTTCCATAAAAATACCTAAATTATCCATCCATTTTAGAACTACTTAATCCAGTTCAGAGTCACAGGGCAGCCAGAGTCAAACTGGGCAAGCAATGGGTACAAGGCAGGATACACCCTGGATGGGATGCCAGTCCATCGCAGGGCACACACAGACACACACTCACACGAGGGCCAATTTTCCCTGAAGCCAATTAACCTACCAGTAGGCCTTAAGACTGTGAGAGGAAAATGGAGCACCCAGCAAAACCCCAGGCAAACACAGGGAGAACATACAAACTACAGAATTGAACTGAGGGCCAATTAAAAGCTTATTTGAGGTATTTAATACTTGGCCGATAATGAGACTTAGTTGACCACAGGAAATCGTATCTTCCAGCTGCATTTTTTCTCATTTACTAAATCTGCTTTTTTTGACAAATGACTTTATGCAGTACTGACAAGGATTCACATGCAAGACCTTTTTTCTATTAACTTGCGATTCTACCTTGAACAGCTGTGAGCAGCTACAAAATCCACTTCCTCTGCGATCTTGAATTCCATTAGTCAAAGAAACAGTGTTTAAACATACTGTTATTCTTTAACGCAAACTGCACACATTTTATGGAGTTAAAAAAATTAGCATTAATCAAATACTAGTATAATAAGAATGCTTATTAAATAATTTATTCTCTTACTCTATGGGTATTTCTTGAACTGCTTAGTTATAAAATCTAAAGGAAATCTGTGAATCTTTTTTCACTCACTTGAATAAACATTTTTTGTTATACGATATCACAGAAAAAGATGCTGAGCAACACTGTCTCTTCCATGTCTCTTTCCTTCTGTGAAACTGCAAGTTACATAATTAACTCAATTTAAACCCTCAATTTAAACAAAGAATGAAGTCTTTCAATCAACCCATTGGAGACAAGTATACTGACAGAAGTCAATCATTTCCTAAGAGTCATGCTACATACTGTACTACCTTAGACTTTAGAATGGCTGTATTGCAAATCTTATTTTACAACACAATTAAAGGCAAAAAATGCTTTACAATAAAAATGAAAATCTTAACAGCTTCACAGCTGCCATGTACAATATTAGATTAAAGTGCCACCTAGAAAAGACACAAAAAATCTTTTACATATATATGGTAATCTTTTTTTTTTAAACCGCAGCTGTTTCAATGCTCAAGGTATATTTTCATGTTTAACACTCTCCCTGAAACTCTGAAAGTCTTCTCTACACCTGAACTAACACTAACACCTGAACACTACTATTTCAGCTGTAGGAAGATCACTGTACCCTTAAGATCCTCAAAAGGCAACAGAGATTCTAATAGAACCAATAAAAAAGCACATTTTCATGGGGAGGTAATACACTATCATACAAAGTGTTTTTGTATTATTGTGCTGGCAGGGATAACAGCCATGGTTCTTGGAGTTATTGCTTTTTTTCTGTAATTCTGAAAGATGCACTGCTTCCATCTCAGTTTTTGCAATACTGATATCAATAGGATATACCTCGTTGTTTGAAGAATGCTCTGTAGACTCTGTTGAATTTCAAAAGAATCAGGTATTTGGGAGAAACAGCTCCATTTCAATTACATAAAGTCGGGGCCACAGACTAGCACCTAGTGGTATGCTATGGTATTCTTTTATTTGGTATCATGGCATGTTTTTTTTTTTACTTTCTCACTAGCGTGTAAATGGCAAATGCTAAGACCTGCTATTCCCATTGCAGAGTAAGTCATAAAAAAGAAAACCTTTTAGAAGTCTGTTAATGAAGGAATACGACTTATTTCAGTCCTCTATTAATAAACTTTATGAGCTTTTCCATTGATGTAGTATTTAGTATTTTTTAACATGTTAATGGAGGGCCTGAGTTTCTAGTATTTGACAAAGAACAAAAACAAACAGGAAGATCAGTAAAATCCTTATGATGGATAACCACTAACAAAGTACCATTGATCAACATAACATGCCGTGCTCTGCTACACTAATGAACTGTCAGCTGTCAACGAGAAGAACCTGTGCTTAAAGAGATGGATATTTCAAACCACGTTCTACCCAAGACTACAACAGCTGCTCCATTCTTTCTGATGGTAATAACAGAACACTTCCTCTAATACTAATACTGCACAGAACTGGGAGAAATGTGAAGGCTCTGAGCACCCTCATGTACACAGTGTCCCCCTCCCCTGTGGAGGAGCATAGCGAACACACTGGCATGAGCAGAAGTGAGAAGGGACATTTAATACTTCCGCTTTGTGGAAGGAAAGAGCGGAAGAAGGGGGCGAGGGGCAGTATTCACCTGCTGGAAACCTGGAGGAGAGAGGCTGGCCACAGGTGGCGGGGGGAGTGGTGAGGGGGGACAGGTGGCGGCCATTTTCTGTCACGCTAGGCGTGTAAAAGCCAAGGCAAACGGCACCATGCCAAAGGGAGGTATGTAGGGTTTCATAAAAATCTATATTTCAACAGACGACGGCTTAATACATATTCCTGTTACAGACATTTACCTGCTGAAGGAGACAGGGGCGCAAGAAAGGGGTGGGGGGGGTAGATAAATTAAGGACTCACAGCAGATCTAAATCTATGGCCTACGCATAGTTTTGGTCACCGTATAATGCCTTCCCCCGCTCCACATGCACACACACACACACGGAGAAGCGCACACGCGCACACAAGCACACAGACCCCTTTCCCAGCATCACTGCCCCTCTCCTCCCCATACGGCCTCAGTCGTCGTCCAGCACCTCTGTCTTGATCTCCCCGGCGCCCCCCTGCCGTGCCAGGGCCAGGATGGTGTGATTGACAGCTGCCATCTCTACAGCAAGCGAGATGGGATCCTGGTGGTCACTGTGGCTGGTGTTGTCGTCCTGAAGGAGGGAGGAGACACCGGTCAGAAGCGTTTGGCTCCCCTGCTCAGGGCCGCCTGTTCCCACAGGGCCTCCCGCCGCCCTGGCAGCCTCAGACACTGTGTCCCAACAGCGCACTGCCAGTCAGCTGGGAAGTAAAGTTGGTAACTATAAATTGCAAACACATTAGTTTAAATTGGTCAGTACAGATCATTCTAACCAGCTGCTACATGGTGATCAAACCTTGCTTTTGCCCATGGCTTATTGGCAAAGTTCAAAATGTCAAAACATCACTGTTTCATTAAATTAAGAGTACTCCTCAGTAGTAGTTCGATGAAGTACAATAATTTACTGTCAGGAATATTTCTTGCAAATTGTGTACAAAATAGTACAAAAGAGGGTCTCCTCAATTATGTTTACGACAAAGAAGGAAGTTTATATAGAATACATCAGTAGTACGTTTGTCCAGTAGTAGGTGAGGACCTCTAGATATGCTGAAGACCAAAGCCATCTTTTTATCACTTCTCACAGTCTCACTCCGATTTGATAGGCACAGCCCCTCACACCAGCAAGATCAGAATTAACAGACAACACCAGCACAAAAACTGCTTTTCGTAGTTGCTGTCCATGCAGGCATATAATTTAACCATGACAATTTCAACTACTGCACTTCATTTAAACTTGAGTAGTGATGTTTAAGTGGTTAAATGATAAATACCTTAATACTGATTTCACATAACATTTACATAGCTGTTTAAAATTGGGCCATTTAAAATTAGGTATACACAATACAATTTAAGACATCTACTAAGATTAAGTTCACAAACTAGAAAATGTGGCACACTGTCTATCTGATCAACTGGGACTATGGTTTTGTAACTTTCTTAAATCTCAAAACTCAAAACTCTATGGGATCTCAGGTAAATGCCCTTTGTTGTTTTTTCTAAACAACATAACCATAATGCATGATGTTTAAAATAATTATATACACATTTTAATAAATGCAGTCAAGGAAATTCAGAAAACTGAAAAAAAAA